GGGCCATGACAACACTTCCTTCCTAGTGCATTTGTGTCACTGCCTGAAAGGGATGTGCCTAAATAGAGGTCAGAGCGGCTGCGGGCGGGTTTCTTGTTTGTTAAACAATATGGGAAGAAAACAGAGGCCATGAAGGATACTTCCCGCCCCTCTGTGCCCCGGGGAACATTCTTTATAAAACTTGGCAGCAGCTCTTTCATCAGAAGTCAGTAAATGGCTGCACAGAGCTGCTGGGTCTGGAAAATGTTTTGACCATTTAGCAGTGGAGGAAGAGGAGGCACAGGAAAAGAACTTAAAGGAGATAGTGCAAAGTCTCATATAAAAACTCCAAATAGGTGGTTAACTCTAAAAACAAAAAATAAAAACCAAAACACCACACACAACTTATATTCATACATAAATATATATTTTATATATATAATATTATATATATGTTGTTAGCAAGTGATTACAAGGATAAGTGCATTACACATCAAGCAGGAGCACCGCTGCAGAGATCTTTGGAGCACAGCTCAGGGAGCATCCTGTGGCCTCTTTTGAAAAATATATTCACAGTTAAGCCCAGCAAATCAGTGACTTGTGTAGAAATCAAAGCATGCAAAAATAGTAGTTCTGTAAGCATGCTTCTCTCCAAGCTCATAAAGAAAAAAGACACAATAAAAAAACACTTCTGAAGACTTAAATAATGAATTACAAGTGTTAATGATATACTGAAAACAGTTACTACTTTTATAGAGCTGATGGCTGACCTTTCCAGAAGTCAGGGTGTGCTGTCTCTGTTCCTGAGGCATCTTTGTGCAGCTCTCTGTGCTGCTCTGCTCCAAGCACTAACCCAGATGCAGCTCTATCCAAGCCTGGAACTTCAGACACTCTAGCTCCCTAAGGCCTCCCTGTGTCTGGAGTTTCTAGCAGAGAAACACCTAAAAGCCTGGTAGCCATGGCTGGCCTGCTGAGATCTCTGTAAACCTAAGCTGTGGGGCCTCTAAACCCAATTGCCATCAATGGATCATTCATTCTTTCTTTGTGTGCCTTGCCTTACCAGGGGAGATATTTGGGGCACAGCACTTCCCCTATCCCCAGACCAATAACTGAACTTACTTTAGTCTGATAACTCCTCTGCCTGGTCTGGTTTGTAACTAATGCTGGGAGGTCTGTGTTCTGCCTCAGTGTTTGGATGCTATTACTATATAGAAGTATTAGTTCTTGATGTAGGCTGGAAGGGGGAAGAGATCAAACTCAATTTTATTTATTTAGTCTATGACTCAGTCATTCAGCTAGAAGCTAGAAAATCTCTACTTTATTTGCTTGCTTAATGTCATTCTTAAAAGGCCTTTAGGTACAGTTCTTTGTGTTTGCTAAGGCCTCCAAACCCTAATCAGGGAGACAGAAGAGCAAGCAGAGTGTAACATCAATGCTGCTGAGCGCTGTGACAGTTCTGGAATCCATGCGTAAGTGGTTATGTTCCCCTCTAAATGTAGTTTATTTCCATTTTAATCAAATGCTATGCCAAAGTTAATAGGACTACGTTTCTATGCTGCATGTGGCATTTGATCTGATAAGGAGCATGGAACAGAGAAGGAATGCCCTTGAGGATGATAATTGCAGTTCTTGCTGTGTATGACTGAGCATCCTCTGCTTTGGTTTGCTTCTCTCCTTTCTGGAAGGTGGATACCTCACCACTGCTGTAGTCACAGAACTAGAATTCTGCATTTTTGGCACCTGGTATCTGTTCTTCCCAGGCTTCAGGTACTAGAACACAGTGCCTATGTAGAGGAAGAGCAGGTGCTGTCTTCCAGACAGGGTAACATAATGGAGCACCTTTTCTTTTTAAAAAGACTAACAAGGAAGGCCTTCAAAACTGTTTTTCTGTTTATCCTTTTTGACAATAAGGACAAAGACTGCAAAATTGTTCTGACGAAAAAAAAAAAAAACAACCCACCAACATTTCTAGACACCAGTGAAATCTTCATGGGTGCTCTGTAGAGATTCAGTTGTACTGCTGTGGTGCTGGCAAATACTTGGAGAAATGAAATGAGAAAAGTAAAGACTGCTGGAGATGACTGACATAAAATGAGGATTTTTTGGTGTCTCTGTTCCTTTTCAAATGTGTAAATGGAGTACTTAAAATATGCTCAAGATGACAGATGTCTCAAGTAGGGAATAAGGTGGCCTACAAGGGACATTGCTAGCTGTGCAGTGAGGGTTAGTTAAACTATATTTTAGGTGAAGATTATATGTTTAATCAGATGACAACTGTACCCTGACCTAAATATATTTTCTTTGAACTGTTTACTTGACACAATAGAGAATTCTGAAGAAGTGACCTTTTGGTTTGTTGTGAATAAATATTCCAGATTGCTCTGCTGCTTACTGGGATACTAGAAGTGTCAGAAATGTTTGGCCAGCTGGCTCTTCGTCGTCTTTCCAGAAGAACCTCTCTGCAGTTGCTGACACCCTGCACTCCATCTTATTCTAAGCTGTGCTGTGAACACAATCTATTTCTGCTTCTAGCTGGTGTATTTAAAAGATAACAGTTGTCTAAAGTGACATTCAAATGATTTAACTGGAACCAAGCTTTTTTGAAATTACCCTTTCATTTACTGGAAGTCTTCCAGCAGTTCTAATGATGAGGCACAAGACCCCCAAACCTTGTCCCTCACTTCTATGCTGTCCTGAATTTATGCTTAAAATGGGCTTATCTCAACAAATTGTGGTCAGTCATACTGTGGAAAATGTTATTTAATCTAGGTCCCTGGAATGTGTGTAATGTAATTCAATTGCACTAGCACTTCTAGCATTCTACTTTTTGAATATATATATATTGAATATTCAATTATATATATATATATATATATATATATATATATTTGAATAGTAATATTCTTTCACCACAGGCATTGCACGAACAAAGCATGCTAACAGACCTTCCTAATTGGGATAAGCTTTGAGTGAATGTTAGAAAACCAAAAGATTGTCCCACTGCTCAGGTAATGTGCCTATAGAATAATCTAGGATGAAAAAGACCTTGAAAAAGTCATCAAGTCCAACCATCAACCTGACTGACTGAGTCTTGTGGCGATCATTATGTTCCTAGCATGTAGAACGGAGGCACTGTATCTTCGTTCTTAAACAAAAATCCACTTCTGCAAAACATAAGCTGCAAGAAAGATGTGCTCATTAGCAACTTCCAGAATAAATGTTACATCAAAGTGACTTTATTATTGACACTGTTATTTCTTACTTGGGGAATAGTGTTACTCAACGCTTACAGATGAAAACTGGTGGTCTGCAAATCCTGTAATCGTGTCAAATAATGGTCAGATGAGCTCTCTTAGGCCTTCATAATACTTTATGGAAGTCAGTAAAGGAATGATTCCAGAGTTTTAGACTGCACAGTTTTAGATGACTTATGCTCTTGCCTCTCAGGGAGAGATTGTCCCACAGCCTCAAAGACCTCTTGCTGTGTGGAAAATGTCTTTTCCTTTTCTCCTGCTTCAGATTTTCCATTAACAATTTTTTTTTTATCCCAACTTATACACCCACTCAGGCAGTCTGAACTCTTCTGTGTTTTTATGACCTTCCAGTGCTAGCAGACATTTACTACCTCTTGTCTAGTGGCTGGATTATGTATATTGAATCTTTCTGCGTAAACGTACCCTTTCAGTGTCCTAATTTCTTTTCATGGGATCTTTTTCTGCTTAGATTTCTTTCCCACCCTACATTGCACTTTAGAGTTCCTGGCCTCAGCTTGGAAATTCATTTCTTACAAGAACTCAGGAAGCCTCCGGCAATCAGGGTAATGGGGAGGGGGAAGTGAGCAAGCCTCCAGTCTTGGATAGTGCACTTATGCAAAAGAAAAATAGTTGCAAGTTTTCTATTATCATCAGTAATAACAGTACTTCACTTTCAGTGCTATACTAGTTAGGATTTTTGGATGTTTATTAATACTTTTTTTTTCTCCTAGAGAAATGAAATAATTCTGCACTGACAGATGAGAAACAAGTATTTTGTCTTTGCAAATTAAATGCACTGGTAAATTAAACCATTATCTTTATTTCATTCTCAATGATTGGGAACCTGTGCTTCTGGCACTGAGGAAGAACATCTATGTATAACGTTTAATTTTCAGATATATTAAGCAGAAAGTATCTTAGCCTGAGCTATGGATACTACATGCAGGCTAACAATCCCCTTGCATAAACTGGTGTGAAGGTATAGTAGGTCCTGCTCTACCCAGGGATTGGTTGGTACTGTTCTGTATCATTTACCAGTCTTACTTTGGTGCCCTGACTATGTGTCAGTGACATGGCTTTCTGTATGTAAGATGAAGGCCAGTAATTATTTATGTACTTGAAGAATGATAGTTTAGAAACAAAACAAAAAAACCAAAAACCTTCTACTCTCCTACTTAAATTTTTTAGAAGGCAGTACTGAATTTCAACACTGTGAAGCACATCAAACTGGCTCTATGCAGCATGGGGTTGCCATTAACAAGGGATGGAGATGGCTATTGTGTACCTCAAATTGATTTGATGTTGAATGAACATAGCCAGTAATTTGAATTGTATGATGTCAATTACTACACAGTACTGCATGTCATCATCACTATGGTTATTAGATGCCTTGTTCACAGCATTACAGTAAGATCCACTCAGCTTAAAAAAACAAACAAACAAAAAAAAACAACCAAGAACAAAATGTTCTGATACTAGAATTAGCTTCAGCATGCAGTAAACCAACACTGAATCATCCCTCCCATACCGAATGGTAATAGTGCATGTATTTGTAGACAAGAAAGATAGGTGATGGTGATTAGTTGGGACTTTGAAAGCTGGGGAACTGGAAGGAGGAAAGGAGGACTTCCAGCTGATCCCATACCCCATAAAGCAGGAGTTCAAAGGGCTGGAGAAATCAGTGAGGGTATTGATTCAGCTTGCAGAAATAGGCTCAAGGCAGGAGGAGAAAAAAGGATGTGGAAAAAAATATAAATGTTACAATGATCTTTTTTAAACATTTAATAGTGCACTTATTGGATATATTCTGTACAGACATCTATAGCAAGTTAAACATCTTCCTTTCTCTCACTTACATCATAGTTGTGTAAAGCACATTTACAATAGAAAACATATTGAGGTACAAAAACCCAAAAAGAATATCTGAGGTATAAATACAGGTATATTTTAAATAATCTTTACCATGCTTTATCTATGTTTGACAGTACACTGTGGGCAAGTATACATGTTTACAATAGAATGGTATGTACAACATACAATTTTACAAATTCAGAAGTGTTTGTTGTAGAAGAATATACAAGGTTTTCCTACTCATGAGGAACACTATTACTGGAAGTACTACATTATTTGCCATAATTAATTAAAAAAAATCTTCATCAGAAAGCTTAAAATAATACTGACAATGGTAACAAAGTCTCAGTCAAAATTCCATCTTTCCACTCATTCATACTCTTGCCACAAAATACATGTGTCACTTAATACTGCACCTCACCTTTACAGTAGCACCTACTGAACAACATCTTTCTGTAGGACCTCAATACTTCTTACAGTTCATATACTTTGTTAGGGCAGTGGGGGGGGGGGGAATATCCCAAAGGAATTAAAAGCAAATAAAACCCAAGACAAAATCCCCCCCTTCCCTCTGCCCCCAACTGAACCCCTCTAAATTGCTCACATTCAGGTTCTGTTCATGTTAGTGTGCAGCTTTTAAGAAAACAGGCAAAGGAGAGAGAGAGAGAGAAAGGGAGCAAACTCTTACAAGTCTTCTACCCAACTCACTCCATCTGCTGCTGCAAGAGTCCTGTGACTCCAGTGTTTAATTTTTCCTCTTGAGCTATTAGAAGATGGTAAAATATTTAACGGCTCATTAAAATGCATACATATACTTAATGAGGGTAAAAATCTACAAATATTTTTTGGCAATATAACAGTTGACACTACCAGCTCTCTTGCTTGTTAAGTAGGCATTTCATTTCTAAGCTGCTATGTTGTTTCAAAGTATATTTATTTACTTAAAGTTAATATAGAATTGCCTTCACTCCCAAAAGATCATTTGGATAAGGAGTGAACAGTAGCCAGAGCAAGCCTACTGTAACATCTGCATAAGGGTTTTAACAGCGTTAGAGCTCAGCAGAATGCAGAATGGACAAATGGGAAGGATGGCTACTCCTGGTCCACAGGAGAGGCAACTGTATCCAGTATACTAAAATCCATCCTGGCTGCCTATCAGTGTACCAGACACATTTCAAGTTCAACTTCTACTGTCCTTTCAACCATCAATACACTCATTCACTCTTTAATCTCTGTGCAGACATTTCTCTGCTTATCTCAGTGAGAACACATTGAAGAGTACCAACTATTCCAGTGGATACATAAGTCCCTCAACACACTACAAATAAAATGACATGGGTATGTACATAAAGCCAAGCATTTCACATGGGAATGATGAGCCTTCACCATATTTCATAATATATTTTGCATCTAAAGAATTTTGCTTCTCAGAAGCAATTCAAACCACCTAATAGTACAATACTTTTTTTTTTTTTTTTTTTTTTTTTTTTTTTTTTTTTGTACAGTCCTCCTATGTATTCCAGTCAAGGCCTACACTATAGACCTTAAACAGACAGGAAGCAGCTTTAAAGTGTATGGTATGGCCACAGTCAATGCTCACAGTCTCATGCTGTCATCCCTTCATGACATGACTTACAGATGGTCTGCAGCAGATGAGCCTCTGTTTTGTGTAACATCTATGTTGCTGAGGTCTGGAGTGCACAGCTGTTCCTCTTCTTCAGTAGTCACCTGCATTTTATTTCCCTGTTCTCAAGACTCTGATGAGTGAAAGAGTCTCGTATCTTAACTACTTCAGATGCACACAAGTGTCCAAAACACTTGGTGTACCAGTCTGGCACGTGACCCCTAATGGATGGGGAAAAAAACAATGAAGAAAGTATCAGCAACACTGCACACATTTTTCTTTTCAAACACAGAAGGAGCTGGTTTAACAGCTCCTTAAATTGACTTAAATTTAAATTTCCTTAAATTTAAATTGACTGTGAAATCTCTATATTACTGCTTACTTGCTCAGCTCAGCCTTGCTAATACATAGATTTGCTCTAAAATGAATTTGCTGCAGTGAGCAAAAAGTTAATTGAAGTTTTGTGGGAATTTGGTCTGCTTCATTAATTGACTTAACATTAACATGTACTTGCATTCAAATAAATACACCTGGCAGATAAAGTGGTGGGATTATATACCAACAGCTATGTTGGAACACAAACTGGGGGTTTGTAATATAACAAACCCTCCTTGCTATTAGACATGTACAAAGGATAATCTTCTGTGACCTCTCAGAGTTCTATGCGCATGCACTATAGACTAAGCTGCAGCTTGCTGCACTGCCTAAATTTGGCACTATACACTACACGTCAGCAGCACAAAAGGACAAAAATAGAAATCCATACCTTAAATCAATTCTGCACATGTAGGTAAGTTTAGATTTTCCTGACCCGCAGGGCTCAATCAGATACCTAGACAGGAGCACATTGACTCTGACACCCACCACTGGAGCACGGTCATGATCCACTGAAGTTGCTAAAAGCACACAAGCTCCTTTGGGAAAGTTTGTCCTCCACGTTCTAAGAAAAAGGAAGAAAAAACATCTTGTCTTTGACAGACATTTAACAAACATACTTCAAACTGAACATAAACAGTTTTTTTTTAATTACATAACATGCTTTCTACAGAGATTCTGTTGACACGGTTTGTGGCTACAGCATAAAAATCTCTTACCTTAAGATGACAAAGTCCCTGGCTGGCTGAGGAGCCATGCTGTTCTGGACATATTGGTATATATCTGTCTGACTATCCAAAGGTTCAATTACTTTTGAGTCTATAAGATCTTCATCCCAAAGATGCTGCTCTTTAAGTAAACGATTTAAAACTTCTTCTGGTGTAGCAGCAATTTCAATGGTAGTTTTCCATAATCGGAGTGGGGGACCTTCACATGCCTGGGGAAAATGAGCATAGTCCTCAGTTTTACATTTTCTTTTTATTTTATACTGTTGGATAAATACAGCAAATTAAATATACACACACAAATGCACACATATACTGTACTAAGGTTGTTGGAATTTCAGACTGAGGTTGTTTTCCTACGAGCAAAAGGCATTTGCAAGCTGACTTCCAAAGTATTTTTAAGTTACAGTTATGTCCTCTCCTATGAACTACTGTTCAATTGTGGTACTACAAAAAAAAATACCCTAACTTTCCCAGTTCATTTTTCTTAAAATATCCTAGTTCAAATCTGATTGAAACATATCTCCGTCTGCTAGTTCTGAGCTGTGCAAGATCAGAGCAGAGAAACTTTGTTCCCACTGCCTGCACAACAAAAGTTAGCCTGTCAAGGCTTTGCGCAAGTGAGTGAGGGTGTGTAAATGCAATGCAGTGAACATTCCTGGGCAATATAAACACAAGAACTCCATTCAATGCATGTTCGCTGACTGCTGCTGAAAGACAAGTTGTTTATAGATGGTGTGCAATTGTGTCAAAAGATTATTATTTTTTCTCAAATCTATCCACTAAATAAAGATGTGCACTGAACCGAGTGTTATATCTACACCAAAAGCTAGCTTATATTAGAGATGATGCACTAAAAAGCAGAGTGGTGGAGCGAGTTAGTGTGCATACCTTCTTGTAGGCCAGGTCTGCTTGCTCTGAGGTGGAACAGCTGACCCAGCCCTTAAACTTCTCCTTCATTTCCTTCAGCAAGTCATCCATGCAGTCCTGGAGGTAGCAGTGGTAGTCAGAGGGCTCCATGGTGCTGCTGTTGCCCCGGAGCTCTTCCAGGCTGAGGGGACGGAGGTCCTGCTCCGTGTACGAATTCCGGCCCTGGCTCATTTCTTCAGGTATCTGAAGGATGAGAAGGACAAATCATCTTCTTGCAGCTCTCTCCATAAATCCCAGAGTTAGTATTGCAGTTTCACAGTCACCAAAGGATGGGTACGCATCATATTCTGTTGATAAGATGCTCACTGTTCCCTTCACTCTAAAGTTGGCAGTAGTCACACACTGTGGTTGAGAATGGGATGCCTAGAGAGGTTTTTGTGTAAGTCTGTGTATGTAATTATATCTGCTAATTACCTGAGCTAGCATACCAACTGTATTCTAAAAGATATATTTGTCAGGTCTAGAACTCAATGTGAAGCAATACTGAAGTTAAGTTTGTGACTCTGTGACCTTGATTTGATGCAAATTAGTCTCTCAATTACAGGGTGCCTTTTCCCCCTCTCCCCCCCGTGGAGTATCCCTTCTTTGCTACACAACTCAGACTCAATCCCACAGCAAAGTTTACCCTGCAGACTGGCTGAAGGAGGGGCAATAGTCAGCTATAAGAGGAGAGACAGGCATGCCTTCAGTTGTGGGCTTTGAAAAGGTTTGATGACAGTGAGGAAAACCAGAACGCAGACTTGTCTAGTTCTCCATGCTGGGCCCCAGAGGGAGCATGCCTTAGTTGTTACAGACCTTCCAACCGGTGGTCTGAGAGTATTACAGTTTAGAATGCTTTTGTGGCCTAGACTTGCTCTCTCTTGGGAATTTAAATATAAAGCAAACACTGGAACTCTTGGAAATAGCTTTGTGCTTTGTAATTAGAGCCGAAGCTCACAGATCCTCATGGCCACACAATAAAAACTGGAAGACCTGGTTCAAACGAAGCCTTCATGTAACAAAAATGTCCTGGACCCCAAAACTGTCTTGAGTTTATTAAGCACCCATGTCAGCAAAACAACCTTCCTGGCACTCCTTCAGATTCACGTGTGCACTCAGACCAGGATGCAAAGTTTTTTAAAAGGTTATTTATCACATACTAATCCTTATTAAAATAAAGAGACATTTGCAACTTTCTATTATATAGCAGGCCTAAGCCATATTGCCCAATATTGCACCCATTGATTTTGCAGATGTATTTTACCTGGAAGAGCTTCTTGCATTCAGCAATCATATGGGCTAGCCCTTGGGTTGCAGCCAAATTTTCATTTAGGTCTTTCTGGTCAGGTTTTCCCAGACTCGGTTTTCTTTGCATCACCCTTCACAGGAAGAAGAATACACACACACACAAATCCAGTTATTTAATGCAGAGCAAGAGAGATATTTGGTAAGAAAACAGCCACATTCCAGAATGTCTTGGTAGTGTAGAGCAGAGCTGCTTGGGACCAGATTTTGGCATGCTGTTATTGACTTCTCTTGCTATTCCCACTAAACTTTGCTTTTGGCATTCCCCAGTTACTACCCTTTTGTTTTTTTTAGCAATTTCACCACACCTGTCAAAAAGTAGGGTCACAGGACTGTTCTACATTTGATGCCTTCTGAGGCGTTCAAGGTGATCAAAAGGGTCAACAGGACTGGAAGCAACAAGCTGTGCTCTCCAGAGACATACCTTGGGGAAGAATTCTCTCTTTTGAGAGTGTTTAAATGGAACAGGGAAGGTGCTAAGCACACCGCCAGGTTTGTTGGTGTCATCTGGTTCTCCTTCACAGCAGCTGTGACATCACTCAGGAAATAGAGAAGAATCTGTAGGACCTCCCTGTTCTCGTCAGGTAAAAGCATAATGGCAGCCTTGATAGCCTGGAGACGCTGATCCTTTGGCACATCTGCAGAATATTAGTATTTCTCTCATCAGCCCATTGATTTTCCACACACACAGCATGAATATATCCCAAAGCAAACTCCAGCTTCAAATATTTAACTCAAGTTTGAAGCGATTTCCTTCAGGATGCATACCATTCATAGGAAACACGAAGAAATTTTTTTTAACCCACTAGTTTAACTACCCTCAGTAATTTCCTGCCTCACAAGAAATGCAAGCAAGAAGAAGTTGTGCCTAGGCCAGAGTTAATTTTAGATTTAATTTCCACAGCTACTTGCTCCCACAGATGCACTAAAATGACAGAATCCTGGACTCGGGCAGTGAACAAGCAAACAGTCCAGCCGATTTAGAAATTCTTTGGCTTTTAAAGAAATTAAAAACATTAATGCATTTTAGAAAAAGTGAATTAATTGAATAAATTGGCTAGCAAACCTTTCTAACAATGATGTCATAAAATAGACAGAAAGCGCTTTACCAAACACACTGGGTTGCTTTATCAGGCAAATCATTCAAAGTCATGCAGTGGAAAAAGAAAGTCAATGCTGTGGAGCCCCATACCATTAAACAGCTCCTTGGTTACTAACAACAAACACCCATTGGAAAAATTTGATGTGTGTCTTTATATACGGCCGCCTTCTCCAAACTTGAAGGGAACAAATAATGAAATAACCCAGACAAGATCTGCTTCTTATAAAGGGATTTCCAACAAGCCATCCATTCCCGAAGACAACATGAGAGTCTGAGTCCTGAAGCACTTGTATCATTAGCTCCACACTGCCCTGACTGCATGCCCCATAATACATGCATTGCTAACCAGATATTTAATTGAAAATTTGCTTCGGGCTTCAGCAATTTCATAAGGCCAGCACTGAGTTTAGAAAGCAATTGACTGTTCTTCATGCTGTCTCCTAAATCAGCTCAAAACACATTTAAGCCATGTATGGGCAATTCCAGAGTGCAGCCTGGTGCATAACTCTAAAGCAAAGAGAAAATTTGTCCTTTGTAGGGAAGCAAAATTTACAGTTGCTTTAAGGCTTTTTGCTCAGAGAGAACACTTCCCGACCACCTCTGGGGATTGCTCAGACATACTGTGAAAGGAAAGGAACAGATACTTCTGTGATTCTGTGTCAAGCTTTTTCTGGCACTAACCAGAAAGAGTTGCTGCTTAATATGCACGGAAGTGGAGAGTCTGATTCGATTTTTCCATAAGCTTTCCTGGGAATTGAAACAACACCAACACAAAAGTGTGCTCTGAAATAACAGTATGTATGTGTATGTTTTTATTTTAAACTGTCACCTCCACCTCCGGAGGTCTGAGGGAAGTTCCTGGATGATATAAACCATTTGCACCATAATCATAGGGGAAGGCACAAAATACTGTAGTGGCTCAAGGAAAGTGTTTTTGCAGTGAGCTGTGTTGTAGCTAGGCTACCATGGGAAGAATACATGAGGAGAGAGCTGGATTGGCCTTAGAAAAAGAAACAGGATCAGCAAAGTGCCTGCATTGCATCAGTTTGGATCTCCATGAATAATTCAAGAAGCTTTGGGGTCCTGGTCACCAAACATTAATTCATCTTTGGCCATTTTATAAAATGCTTTTTAAAAAGCATTTAAAGTATTCCTATAATGTAACAACTTTGAAATAGCATTTGAAGGGCAATATGTTGTTTGGAAAGCACAAAACAGTCATCTATGCAGAACCTGATTTATTTCACTCGCAATAAAGAATGTCTCCCTTGCTGGAAGTGGATCTGTCACCCCAGAAGGATGAATAATTTCTTTCCAGGTGTGTTGATAAATACATGTTTTGATGCCATTTATTCTAAGTACATTCTGGTTTTGGTACCCATTGGTAAGGTAGCTAAAAATTAGTAATGGAAAAGCTTTCAACTTAAAAGATTGTTTTAAAAAATGATGGTGAAGAACAAATATGAATTAAAAGAAAGCAGACTATTATGGCAATCTTGCTTTTAGAAAAATAACAAAAAACAACTCAAAAGCTCCAGATTGTTAATGTACTCTTTGCACATCTCCTCTATTTAGACACATCAGATCCAACTTGAAAATATACTGTAATATAAAGGAAACTCAAAAAAGAAAGGAAACTCTACAGCAAGCAATGGAGAATTTATTTGTTCACCAGAGAAAGGTGAAATGAAAAGAACTTCTCCAGTAAATCATTACACAAACAGAATATGAAATTAGTTCCTTATGTGGGAGCCTGTAATACAATAGCTACTACAAAAAGACAAAGATCAGCATACACAACATGTGTAGCGCCCAGAAATTTCTGCCTTTTCTGCACAAATGACAATTTGTCATCTAGCTTTAGAAATCTCAGTACTTACACTGGTATATCTGTAAGAAGGTCTCAGAGAGCTTGTTGGTCATGAGAGGCTCGGGCAGGTCACGGAAGAATTGCTTTAACATGTCTGCTACATCGTAGGCAGACTGGCCTTCATAGTTGACACTGTCTGTTGAACTCTCATTCATCTGACGCAAAGCCTGAATTCTTGATTTTACTCCAGATTTCCTAAATAGTCCAACCTAAACATATTTATATATGGAAAAGTAAATACATTTACATTGAGTCTAGCAAATTTGAAATTTAAGTATGTTCTTCAACCTCTTATGTATGTGTTGTCATTTCATGGAAAGCTTTTTCTTGAATTGCTCATTTTATTCTGAGTCTACTTTTTCAGTCTAACCAAAGAACTAGAAAAAACTAACAGAACACTAGGAATGGGTGCTGAATGTATAGAGGAGAGAGCAGAGCAAAACCCACCTGATCCAGGCAGTGGTTACGGAGGTACCGCATGGCTTGCTGAATGCTCTGTGGAAGGGGCTGCCCGGTGCGCTGGACGTTGACTTGCAGTGGTACTCCAAATACATTTCGGTCCCTATAGTCTGGCACCTTTATCCTTTTCATAAATTTTGGTACTGCCCTATTAAGTAAAAGAAATTACAAAATTGAATTAAACCTCTGTCAACCATTTATCTCATGGATTTCCGGTAATGCAAAAAGTAAGTGAAATAAATGAAACATTTTAGTATGCTGAATAATACGAAAAGTATTGAGAATATAAACAAGCTAATTCATTCAGGTATTGGAATAGGGAAAGAACAGAAAACACAGTTTCTCTAAGAGAAAAGCTTGAAATTCAGGGCAATATTCTGCCTGTAAGTATTAACGTGGTTCTATTCTACCAATATTAGTAGGACAAAAGCTACAGGGTAAAACTGCAGGGGCCAGACTGAACTGCAAAGGAGTCAAAATAAATCCTGTGGTCAGTGACCCCTTATAACACTGCTTCTTTAGGTTTCAAGAAAGATGGACATTTGTACAATGAGCTTTTGTATGTCAACTACTTGTTCTGCAAAGTCCTCTAACTGAGTCCATCACCTACCAGAGTGCATAACAGCAGAAACTGATGTAATACATTTGAGTTCATTAGCTAAAAACTTCAGCTCTATAAACAACCCCTTTGAGGGACCTCTCTCCTTGTCAGGGAGTAGTAACTGTTGTTACTCCTACTTCCTACTCCAGTTTCAATGACAGGTCTTTCCATTTGCTTTTGACTCCAAGGAAAAAGTTACTAAGTACAAAAGAATGATTTATCCCTAAGTTCCCAAGTGTTATTTTCATGAAGGAAAAAACCCCAAAACTATTAAAACGTGAGAATATTAAGTTCATTTTCCTAAACAAGAAGAAAACTTAATATATGGTACAACACCTAATAGGACATGGTAGCCATGGTGAACAGGGAGACCTATTTAATATTTCAAAACACAGTACAGCTATACAAACACTGCATTATATTTACAGCTGACTAATCTGTTAAATAGGAAAACAGAACCAATTTGTATTGCCATACAGTTAAGTTTAGGGCATTATTGATATATGTATGAATAATACTTGCTTTGTCAAAAAACATGCCAAAGGAATGTGAAAAAACACATTGCGATCTCCACTGAGAATCTGAAGCATGCAGGGATAACTGGTCAATACTTATTTCTGTCTTTCAGAACAAACAACTTCTGTATTTAGAAAGGCTGACATAATAACAGCCTTTGAACAGGAGGTACTTTGATGCTGAAGCTAAATACTCTCTATGACTCCTGGGGAAGGGAGGAGGCTGGCCTGTGGTAGGGAGAAGAAAAATTTTATTGCGTCTTTTGCAGCCTGAAGGTTACACAGGCTACACTACATATAGAATAATAAAAGAGCTTTCTATTTCATTCTTTCAACACACAAAAACCAAAAACCTACACTCAACTTGGTTACAAACACCTGGACACAGCAGAAATGGCTTGCTACAAAAAAAAAAATAGACAGTTGTTGGATAATAAGATAACAAGGCACTCACTAAGTGTCTCTATACGCCATCAGGCCTTCTTTTGCTATGGAAAGCAGACATCTTCCTGCACAGAAAGCTGGCCTCTGCCTCACTGCTATTATTCTTCTATATGTTCTTATGAGCATGCTTCTCAATCCTAACGAGATTTGCCCTACCTAAAGGGTCAATGATGTTAGCACTGTCTAAGGAAACCAGAAATACTGTCAGCATAGGCTGAAGGAAGACAGGCAAATATGGAAAAAGTGGGACAGAGGGACTTGTATGTTTCCAGAAGTTGCCTAGGACTAGTGAAACTGTTGTGCTCAGACAGATGGCCTGTCTACACATGGCACTGTGCCCTTACCAGCTGAAGCCGTGCTTGTTGGAAGGCGTGTATTTCTCCAGGAGAGCAGTTAACTTCAGCAGTGAGTACTTCTGCAGCAGGTTCATCTGTGCCACAGATTGGCAATTGATCTGCAGTGAGGCTGAACTGAGGCTGGGCCGATGAGAGCTCTGGAAGCTGTGCCACCTCAGCCTGTGCCTGTGGAGATGATGGAGAACAGAGTAAGGACTCGTCATCAGGATGTCTGCCTCACCCACTGCAATGTCTGTGGATGGGAACACGTTAAGCTATCCTACATAAACTGATATCCTCATATCAGATATCCTTAAAGGCCTCAAATAATGTTGATTTTTTTTCCCCTCAGAAGACCTTTCAGCAGTAAGAAAGTCAGAATCAAACAACTCTGTAAGAATAAAAGGCTCCAGATTTCAAGACACGTCAAATGGAAAACTAAAAGCTCTTCTGAAAGTCTCATTAAATTTATACATGCAACTGTAGACGACTAAATGACAGCAGAAACCACGCCCTAAATTATTTGCACCAGTTTTAAAGAAAAACTGGAAACAAAGCTAGAAAGAGTTCAGCCCCTTGCTCTATTCACAATACAGCCTTCTATGCCATGGTGAAGATCCCAATGTGAGCTTGGGGGCCTCTGGAGCTTCCTCAAACCCCCACAGTGCTGCAGCAATCAAAGGAAACTAAACACTCTCCATCTTCCTCACAGATTTAATGCCCAGACATGTTATTAGGAAACAGCCTGCTACTGAAAAGTGCAATTTTTTAGTCAGTCTAAAGGTTTTTACTACATGCTGACAAGAAACAGATCATGCTTCCACTGGTTCTCCTACCCCATTTAAAAAGCGAATAATCCTACTTGAGATCCCTCACCTTCCCACACACCATTTCAGCTTGAAGAATTACCATTCCCCCCAAGCGCCTTAACACTGAGTTGCTGAGCAAGCTGTTTTTCAAGGACGACTCAAGCTGAACATATAAACATATAGCTATGAAGTGTCAGAATCACTTTTCTAGAAGTGCTGTACAAATAGTTTCCATGGTTCTAATTGTTTTTGGAGGCAATGGGATGAGCATGTGTATGTTTCAGTGGCCTCAGATGGTATTGCATGAAGGCCTTAAATAAGCACAGTACAGCTACTACAAAGGCATCTGGTCCAACAGGGACCTCACTGGGGCCACCCTAAGTCCCACAAGCTCACCTGCTGGACCGTGTCAGTGATGCGCCCACTCCAGAGTCCCTTCTGTCCTGCATCCCTGAGGGCTCTTCTGTTTCATTAAGTGAATTCCCTGTGCTGTCAAGGTCACTTGGTGTTGTTCGATCATTATCTACATCAAGATGGATCTGCTTTGGGGAGGAAGGACATGGGGAGATGGAGTCGAGCGCTGAGTCAGAGTCCCCTTCATCCGAGAACTTCTCGGACCACTGATTTACTATTCTTTGCATCCCTTTTACATGGTACAAGATGTCATCTAGTTCTGGGAATATGTCTTCATTTTCCAGATCAGCCAGGTCACTCGTACTGGAATACAGGATTGAGCCTGGCACGTTGTCGTAAATGCTCAGGCGGCTGCTCAGTGAGCTAGCAGAGTTGCGCCTTTTCCCTATGCTCAGCTCTTTAGAGCTATCTCCACTGTTTTCCCTCTGAAGAGTAAGATGGCCATGCCCATGGAAACTCCCTGTCCTCCAGTTCACAGAAGCGTTGCTTTCTGTTGGGGAGAAGTTGCCATTGGAGAGCGCTTTGGGAAAAGTGCCAGGCTTATGATCTTCTGGAATAAAAAAAACAGTGTCTTCTGCAAAGCTTCCCCTATTCTTGAAATTCTGCTCCATCACATCGCTGAATGTTGACTGGTTGAAGGGATCAAAGCCTTCCAGGTACATGCCCACCCTTTTATTGTATGCGCTGAGGCTGCGTGTGCGCGTGACAGGGCTGGGTGTGCTGACAGCGCTGCTCGTCTCCGACTGACTGCTGCTGCTACTTGTCTGGGTAGAATTGGAGACGCTCCTTTTTCGTACCATGGGAAGGCTGATGTGATTGCCATTGAGGGCAGAAATCTCCACGCAGTTAAGTTGTTTCAGTTTATCTTCATCCATGCCCTCCTGCAGGATGGGCCCACTAATAATAAGGCCAAGCTTTGAAGGAGCTTTGTTCTTGCCATGGTGAGAGCTCTTGATTTTCAGACTCTCCATCCTCTTGAGCAGGCTCTTAGTTTTAGATTTAGTGTTCTTCTCATTTGCTTTTGTGTTGAAGCTGAAGCTATTCAACTCCCTGGGCAAAGGCAGGCTGCTGAACGAATCATCATTTGCTACGAAATTGCTGGATGAACAAATGCTCACAACTGAGTTTGTTCTGGTGCTAGAGGCCTCGCTCTGCAGGGTTGGATGGTGGCTGCTGGTGCTGCTGGTGCTGAGAATAGAGGCCACCTCCTGCCGCTCGCTGAGATCGGTGAGCACGCTCTCACAGCTGGCCGCATTTGGGAGGAGAGGAGCCTCTGGGGAGGAGGAGGTGTTAACATCCGGCTTTGGAGGGAACACATCAAACTCTTCAAGCCTTGACCACCTCTTGCTGTCCCTCTGAAAAGTCCATTTGCCGCTTATTGCACATGGTTCGTCTTCATCTGAATCTTCACTCTGCAAAGAAGAACAGCCCTGAAAGTGCTGCTTGCAAACTTACAAACAGAGAATTGCATTTAAATACAGTGCACACTAAACTGATTTAAGCATGACCTTGTTCTCACCAAATTTAAAGCAAAAACAGTCTCTTGCTTCAGGGAGGAGAAGATTAAACCATAAAGCCCATTACAGGAAAAAATTACATTAGACAGACAATTTATTTTAACAGTTTTTAAAATACAAAGGATTTATGCTTTGTAAAAAGAAACAAACAAGGCAATCTGCTTTAACTTGCTCTTTTCTTAAAACTTTAGTATCCACAGGCTTTTAATTAATTGGTCACAGTGGATAGCCTTCAGATCAGTGGAAATTCCTGGCATGCATAAAATTTTAAACTGGAGTCAGTCCGGGGTTGGGGTCCCCCTGGACTCTCTCCAGTTACACTCTGTTGATAGCGGCTCTATGTTTATACTCCTTTTTGCAATTAAGAGATGTTTCTCATATGTTGTGAATTGTAGCAGCTTAATTCTTTACCTATTCGGGAAGTTTAAAGCTGTGAGTGATGAGACAGCAAAAGAAACTCTTGCTCTGCTACAGTTTGATGCCTCCAGGCTCCTACCTGGTCCACTCTTCCTCCCACAGGCTAGTGGCTAACATTTTAAGAATGTCTTGCAAAGTTTCTTTCTACTTCAGCCTTGCTCCGGGCAGACTTTAACACTCACAGATAGCAAGCAGCAAAAGCTTGCTTGCTGCATAGCACGTAAGTAAATTGTAAATAGCATCTCCACTGATTATGTTTGATGTACGAGTAATGCCTGAGGGCACACTTACACGCACATCACTTATGCCTCAATCTTTTCATCTAAATCCTGAAAGGGAGTGATCCTGGGATTGACATATTTGGTCTTCCAAGTGCCTGGAAAATTTTAAGTTGCATGCAGTCGGGAGAATAAAACCAATGTGAGATATTTTAATGTGACACCATGAAACCACAAAATAACCTTTGGTGTAAAGAGTAGGCACGACTAATTGCCACACAGTTCCACGACTGCTGAAGTTTCACATCATTTGTTTAGACTGTTTTAATTTAAAAACAAATATTCAAGCATGGCCCAAACTGTAACTATTTGTGTATCAGGAATGTAAACATTTATAGTCTGACAAACAAGTAAATTATTCATATTTCTAGGATTTTACTTCTGAATACTTCAGCTCCTGATTCTCTCCTGTTGGTTTTTTTTTTTTTATTTCCTTTCATTGCACATTTCATCAGCTCAGGAAAGTAAGTGAAACACCATATTTATTTCTTTATAACCAAAAACATAAGGAAACAGAGAAGTGTTATTCTCCTTGCTTCCCAAGTACTACAATCAGTGTTTCTGTCCATGACTCAAGACAAAAACCAAAGAAGACTGGATTGCTTATTTAAAGTTTTCAAGAGGAAAAATGTCACCAAAACCTGTCAATGGATAATTATTCAGATACAAACAGAATCACAGAATCGTATTTATTTGACAGGAGTTAAAATCATTAGAAATCCTAGTGTATAATTATGATGGTTTGATGGTGAATGTGGTTTGGCTGGAAAAAAGGAACAGTAAAGCAATCATAATTTTCAAAGAGGCCAGTGCAAACATAAGGAATCATGTATTTTTGTTGACACAATTTTTCCCTTAGTGTTAAAAAGTTTTAATGAAAGCAACAAGAGGGAACAGAATCTAAGACCATCTGCCAGAACACAAGAGGTGAATGAAAATCAGGAGCACTCAGACTACGGAAGATCTGGGGTCTGGACCTGAATCAGGTCTGGTCTGACCTCTAACAGCAATACTGATCATTCCATAGTTAACGACATTCAGAAAGAAGAATTCTTCTGGTGGTTATGAAGAGCAAGCCAGTGGCCTACCCCTTCTTTTGAGGAGTTCCTATATATGCTGCCTCAGAGTGTTATCTTCTGGAGCTTGGGTGCTGTTTCCAGCATACCACAGATAGGGAAAGAGGGGATTAATTCCTGGTAAACAATCCCAGAGCATTTGTATGCATTCTTGTTAAGGGCAGGGCAGCATTGTATAGCCTTAGTTTAGTCATCTTTATCTGCAGTCTGAATATCCCAGGGAATGGTATCAACTACTGATTCATCCTAGGAACACACAGTTTTAAGACAACTCTCAAGTGGTACCTTACTAACAAAATCTGGCAACTCAGCTTTCTGTCAGCACTGACTTGCTCAAGTTACAGGAGGTGCTCCCTTCTTTCTCATGCTCCAAAGGATCATGAAGATCCACGAAACCCTTTAAACTCCTGCTAAACTCCCTGGAGATGTGCAAACTTCTAAAATAGGTATTCAATGCATTTTGTAAAAAAATTGCTTTAATTCTGAGCTATAATTCTGTGCAGCCCAAGCACAGTCAAACTGATTCTGTCTATAAGAAAAGAATACAATTCCAATGTGATGGCAAAGAACCAGAACTGTGAAGATTACAACAAGGACGATGTTCTAACATTCAGGCCAGCTCATTGTGGCTGATCAGGATCCCATCCATCATGCCTACTCCACAATCCTGCCTGGTAATAAGCTACAACACAGCCTTGCTGGCAGGCAGAGAAGCCCAGTGCTTTACAGAGTGAGAACAGCATTTCATGGAAGAGCTAGCTAGACCTTTATCTGTGGCCAAGCCCTTCAGTTCTCACTAAGTAACAACACAAAATGAAATGTAAGCAGAGTTTTGACAACGTGTTATTGGCAGGTTCTACTCAGTTATCATTCTACACTACGGCTAAACAATCCTCTAGTTTTTGTTGTTGTTTTTTTAAAAAAATTAAGTTTTATTAATACACAATAATGTAACAGAAAATGTCAAAGGTACTTACCCTTTTCCTGTGAGGACTGATTTCTAGCTTCATCACTGCACATTTGTTTAAAGTATTTAAGCGCCTGCAAAGCAAAGGAAACCATATTAAGAGAAAACTCCAGAGTTTTGGCACAAGCTATTGCAGTTCAAAAGCTTTTGTGAAGGCTATCCCTAAACTGCTTTGCATACAAATAGCCAACAGCAGGGTTTCACTTAGAGCCCTAATTATACTTAACCATTAACCCATTACATTTGGCTGTATTCTAACTTCAGAGGGAGGGAGGAACTGATGACTATTTGTCACTATTACCTCAATCAAAGTCAATGGAACTAAACAGAAACTTAGAGTACTTCGAAGTGCACTATGACTGATGAATTGTAATAATTACATTTATGTAAATATGAAAGATTCAAACCCTGAAACAATCAATCTCGACAGACTGCAAATATAGGAAAAGGCTTCTTACTGACCCTGCACATACGTGACTACGTGAAACAGTGTGTCATTTTAAAATTGCACTGAAAGCTTACACAGGAAAACTTAATTTTCCACTTACCAGGGGTCCATTTTGATTGTGAGAAGTGTGTAATTATTTTCACTATAGTCCTGGGACCACAGTTTTTAAAAAGCTTTGTACCTGACTTTTCTTTCCTAAACTGACAGTTTATTTTATATGTAAGAATATTTTACTCTAAGTCTAAAATTAAATCAACAAAAATAAACAGCTGCAGCAACAAGAGTTAACCACCCTCCCTGTGAGCAGTCTGCATGCACATCTTAAAGTGCTGCATGAATGTACATAGCATCCCTTTATTCTCTGATGAGCTAACAATCTAACATCCCCCAAACAAAATAAGCTCTCTTTCTTATCCAGTCCCCCAGAACACCAGTGTGGCTTGGCAGTCGTGAGAGGCATCACGTCCTCCTTGCCCTCCTCCTGCCTCCCTCATGGTAAGCCTCTGCTTGCAAAGCTGCACCATGAGCTAGGAGAGCTGCAAACTCATCTTTCATTCCTCGGTGGGTTGAATTTCACCCATAATAGCATGTGAAGAAGGGAGGCAGAGGAGCAGAACTGCCTCATTCATGCCACTTCAACAGGGGTAAGGCTGAGCTTTAAAAAGCCTGCTTCATTCTGAAGGAAGTGGTAGAATTTACACCTAATTCCTTCCAGCAAAATGTAAAGAAGAACCTTTATTGGAAGCTTTGCAAAATTTGAAAAAAAAAATTAAAAATGCTGACTTGTCATGTTGCTTCAGATGAGTCTTTTCAGATACCTGAAACTTGTAACTTGAATCTAGAAAATGTGTGCACAGGAAGGATTACTAGTTTCCTCTTTCCTCTCCCCTTTTACGCGCAGGATTGGTTGCAGATGGTATTTACACAGGGCTTGATCCTGAGGCCATCAAAGAAAATGGAAAAGCTCCTACTGGTGCTTTTGCTGCCGTCATGGGGTAAAAAAGGACAGTTTGATCTATAATTAGACCCAGCCACAACACAGCAGAAAAGAAGAGAAACAGGAAGAATTGCCATAGGTCAGATGCTAGGCCAGTGGCAGATTAGGAAAGTTGTCCAGATCTCTCAATTTCCATCTTTGCTCTGACCTAACCCAGCAGGCACAGCTCTTCCCACTGTGGAGTGGGTATGTGACCTTACAGCAGTTGTGTTTATGGCATGGATGCCTGTCCCACCTACACGTGCGCATGGATTTTGTTTCTCTTCTCTTGCTTTATAATTGTTTTCTTTCCAAACTCCAGGACCTCAATGCCAGGGAGTACTAAGTTGGTTTCAGTCCTATACTGTGTAATAATTTACAAATTTCACAGTGTGACAACCATTGCCTTCGGTGGGAAGAGACTACTACTGAATCCACACATCAGGCTTTATCTAATTCTAGCCTGTCTAATAGCTGATAAAGACTATCTTCGATTTCACAAAGATTACATCCACAGACTTCTCTCCTACTCAAATTAAAATCCTGAAATAGGTAAAAAAAAAAAAAAAAAAAAAAAAAAAAAAAGAGGATAGATCTCTGTTTCCAGAGGAGTATTTAAAAAAATATATAAAATACCCCAGTGCACACCTCACAAAAATGACTATGGGGGCAAGATAAGGTAACCCCCAGTGAGCAGAGTTAAACACAAAAGCAGTTGAGGCAAACAAAGGCTCTGTTACACACCTGACATGATTTCATCACAAAAACACTTTCCCTTTTAAAACCTAAATGATCTGTAGTGATTGCCTCAGGTCTGTGAGTTTCGTTATATATATCCCACAAACTACTTTAGCTGGAATCACAGAACCACAGAATCAGAATCACAGAATTGGAAGGGACCTCAAAGATCATCCAGTTCCAGCATGCCTGCTACTGGCAACAAGCCACTGAGCAGGCAAGGTCCAGGCTTTGTCTGGATGAGAGTTATCTATAACTTCTATTAACATTCACTGTGCATACTGAAATATTTCTTAAGCCCATAAGCGCACACATTCATTTTCTGCAGATTTTCTCATCAAATTGTTGCTGGATAATGAACCTCAATTTTTTCTCTTCTGACTCTGGACACTCTCTCTCACAAAGTCCACTCCTGGGTATAAATCTTATCACTTCTTCATTGACAGGCAACAGGTCATGTCTCATTCTTTAGATCCATCTTATTTTGCCCCAATCTATCTCAGTGGCATCTTCATATGGACTCTGTGGAGACAGCGGGACAGAGCAGGACTGATGCAGACAGTGGCTGCAGCCAGTTACACCATCTTGCTATCTCAACCTCAATCACTACAAGGCCTCCTACCCCCAACTTCAGTCTCTCTGGATGACAAGATAATATTCTTTCCCATTCTTTAGGTAATTGCCTTTGGGTCAGCCTTTTCTCTGCAGGACTTCATTTCCAGAGAGACTTCACTAGAGGAGACAGCTCCGTATCTACCTGGTCCCTTCTCCTCATCCAACAAAATTCAGAACCCTTACCTGGGCTTGCAGCCTCCTTCACCTTTGCTTTGTAAAGCCTTTCTTCCTAACCAAGACCATTGTGACAGTATCTGCCTTTCAGTCCCAGTCCTTGTACTGGTTGGCCCCAAAACACAAGGTATTGGAGCTTCTCTAGGAAATGATACACGCAATCTACTCTTCCCAGTCATCCTATCAAAAATAGCCGAGCTAGCTTAGCTTGAACTTCTTTTAAGAAAGGCATCCCAAATCAGGCACACACTATCAAAAACGTCAACTTGCATGCCTAACTTCAGCTAACTTATACATTAAAATACGGCCTCATGATACAAAGTCTTTGTTAATCTAAATACCAGTTAGTTCTACATCCGCCCTAATCACTGCCACTTCATTCTGCTCTTCTCAAAAAGAGAAAATTCTCATCCCACAAAGTCAAGAAAAGTGAAAGCAACACATTGTAGGAGATACAAGCATTTTAAACTAGAATTTTCCATCTCAATAAATGTACGATCTAACTGTAAGCTTCAGTTTAAAATATTTTCTTAATAGATTTAAATACTTTGTTCCTCATTGCAGGGCAAATTCCAGCTCCATTATACCTGCAGCTAACTGATGACACAGGAGCTTCATTGGACAGTCCATACCTTGTTCCCAGAGCTCATCTGCATGTTATAACCTGCAGTAGATGCCAGCTCTCCATCAATCAGACTGCACAAGCAGCAAATGCTGTTCACTTTAATCCATTGCAATCAATTTCTTGGATGAGAAATCGGGGTGGTAAAAGATTTACAAAACCTCTTGCGCAGATAGTGTGGCAGTTTTCTGGTTACATGTAAGGAGATTAAATAGGATTTTCATCACAGCTTGCTATGTAATTCGTGCTTAGCAACCACAGCCTTTAGGACAAGCGCGTTTCAGTGCTTAGTGCATTATGTGGGCAGTTACTCTCTGAAGATAAATTCCTGATCATTAATCTTAGAGTCTTATAAAACCACGGCCAGCAGCACAATCACTACATAAAGCAACCTAGCAAATTAAAGCAGAATCATGACTCCTAGGTTTTTAACCCTACATTTCATGAAGCACCATATACTATCTCTGTAATTCAAATCTCAACTCACTTTTCACTTAGAGATTTTCAAGAAAATCATTAATGGAGTGTGGCTATTGAAACCTTTCCCATTTATAAAGGAATTTTACAAATATTAGGAAAACTGTTATTAAAGTTATGTTATTTTTCATGCTTAAATTAATAAGGTTATTAAACAACAATTGACAGTACAGTTCAGATGTAAACTATAATTTAAAATGCTTCATGCTTAAAAAGTATACAGCATTTATTTATCTCTGTGCTGAAAATGCAAATAATTCCAGAACTACTCTGATTTTCAGTAAAGAAACAATGATGGCTTATGGCTATAAAACAAGTCTGAATTCTTTACTGAGTAAGATCCTTTACTTTTTATACACTGACCATGGCATGAGTCAAAATAAAACTGGGTTTGAGGAAGAAACAGCATTCCAAATGATGTACCGTCTCCATGCTTTACAAAATTAAGCAGGGAGATGTCAAAAAAAAAAAAAAGAGAACAAAAAAAAAAAAGAACAACACACAGACACACACAAAAAAAAACCCCAAAACCTAAAGGTAGAAATGCTGTGATAATGTACTGCTTTTGTCTAACACACATTACAAAGGGTCAAATTCAGTTGTCCAATATGTTTAACTGAATTACTTCTGTTTTATTTTAAATTGGGATTTGAAAGTTTCAGTTTTAAAGCTATTTTGTAAGAGATAACTGTGGCTTCAGAGGCTTCAGAATGATGTAGCTCAGCCTTTAAAATCAGTTTCAAGCTGCAGAAACACCTGTAGCCTCTTATGTCCATTATACAGAAAACAATTTGAAGATGGAAGCAAACAGACTACTTTACAAGTAGCAGATTTGTGAAAGACTGCCTAGTTTCACAAGATATATGTTTAGTCACATCATTCTGGCTCAAAAAATAAGATTTCATTCATAAGACAGTGAACTTCTGCTGGTCTCTAAGTTCGGAAAAAGTGGCAACTGCTTTTATCGCTTACATTTGCAGCAAGTCTCAAAGAGATAAAGAAGACACATTATTACTTTTAACAGTGAGAAACAACCTGCTGCCTTTTCCTTTCCATCTAAATAAATAAGTCCAGGTTTAAAAGTATTCTTGCAGGAGAACTGTAGATCCAAAATATGCTGGCTTGACTATATTTTGTTTTCCTGGCAAGGGAAGACCATGCTTCTGGGAAACAGCATTTATTCACATTGCTGTACTTTCTGTTCAATCATTTCGAAAGTTTCAGAGCACACAAATAAACAGACTGATGTATCACATTTTAATTTTGATAAATTTGGTGCCTTCCCCTGCATCCACAGTGTGAATTTAACATTAGTGAAATTTTTCCCTTCCCGATGACTGGACAAATCTGTTTTCTTAGTTGGAAAATCCTGCAGATGTTTCTGAGCAACTTCAAAACTCCAGTTTCTCTTTCCCTTCTAAGTATGGCACTGATGGCAAAAGAACACTATAAATGAAACCCTTTCTTAAAAGGGTTTTGTAATTCATTAGAGTTACTGACATTTAGAGCTGTGGCCATCGTGCATGCAGAATCAAAAAGTATTCATTCTGAAGACAATTTGGAAAGCTGCCAGAAGTAATGCAATAGCTGCACTCACAGATGGCTGTAGCCTGCACAGTTCTGCTTCCCCCCGGCTTGCTAACTTGAGAATAATAAGACCAAGTAAAGAATAACAGTAAAAGATACACCTATGAAATAGGTACAAAGACTCTTATCACAAATACTCCTGCCATATTCCTCCCAACTTGGTTTTAAACAAGATCCCCAAGCATTTCTTAGCCCAATATAGTATTTCAACTAAAAATGCATACATATAATTGATAACAAAAAATGTCTGTGCCAATAATAAATATTTGTGGTTATGCGTTTTCCAGATTATACCTCTTCCTGTTATACAGGAAGATTTTAGTTTCAAGATGCAGTGTGATTTCTTTCCACTTACCTGCATAGGGCCTCAATGGCATCTCTGTCCAGGAAGTCATGCTCTCGCTTGACAAGAGCAATGTCAATTGGAAAGAGGAGATCTGTAGGAATAGAGACAGATGAAGAACCACAAAATCTCTTTTTTTCTAGTGGTATTTCAAGTCCACCAGCTGCCTCCAGATGAGCTAACCAAGATGCGATTGATTCTCAGATAAAGAAAAATCAGCTCAAATGCCAGAGACATTCACTGTCCATGTACTAACTTTTATGTGCAGCTTTGATAACTGAAAGCTGATAATTACAGAGGGAAAAAATGAGCAAAGCAAAGATGAAACAACAGGAAAAGAAAGGAGGCAAACATGAGCTCCCTATCCGATACCAGAAGCTGAAACTAGTTCAGGCTAGATTCATTTAAAATAAATATACAAGTGATGCTCCAAAAGCAATGCCTCCTATTTTGTTATCTTGGCCCATAACATCAGAGGTGGATGGTATGTAGAGGTTGTATGCCAGTAGAGGCTGACTGTTCTGGCTAATATTCCATTATATTTTGCTGCCATATGGCAGGTGGCAGCAGAGGGATGGTGACAAAATTGCATCTGACATGGAAGTGCATATGAAGCAAAGATGTACCACTGAATTCCTCCCTGGAAAAAAAAATTTGCACCAATGTTCATCAACACTTGTTGAACACTTATGAGATCAACCAGTGGATGCAAGCTGAGTGAGGTGGTGGGTGGTGTGTTTCAGCAGTGGCAACAGCGACATGAAGGACAAGCCATGTTCTGGATGGTCATGCATATGCAGAGCTAAATAACATCTTCAGTGCACTGGGAATGATGGTAGCAACACTGAAATATTGCAAAGTTTGTGATGCGTTCCACAGGGTCACACAGGAGCCAGGTCCAGGTGGCTCAAACAGGAACAGAAAGAGCACATATGCAAGCTTGTCAGGACCTGTAGAACCAAAACGAGGTTGAGAGTGACAGTTTCCTGGATCGCATTATTATGGATGATGAGATGTGGCATCACTATTATGAGCCACAGCCAAAATAGCAGTCCATAGAGTGGTACTGTGAATTTCCTATTAAAAAAATATATTCAAGATGCAGCCCTCAGCAGGTAAAGTGATATGTACTGTCTTTTGGGATAGGAAAGGGGTGATTCTTCTGAATTTCCTGGAACCTGGAGGAACTATCAACTATCACCACTACAATGTGATGCTGACTAAGCTGAAGGCTCAAACTTTCAATATTATGCTGGAGAAGAAAGAAAACAGTCTTTCTCTTGCAACACAATAACACCAAATCCAATAACAGTCTGAAGATTGTGGAGCACACTGGTAATCTTGGCTGGAGTGTCCTACCACATCTACCACATAGTCCAGATTTGGCACCTTCTGACTTCCATTTGTTCAGGTTGACGAAAGATGGACTGTATGGGAAATGTTTTCCTAGAAGTGATGCTGTCACAGTGGGTTGCTTCCACTGGTGCAGATTTTGAGAAGTGTGGCGTGTAGGCTCTCATTCATCACTGGTGAAAATGCAGTTAATGGTGGTGATAATGTTGAGAAATAGTTTTCTAGCTGAGAACATGCTCTGTGAAACAGTGTTACTGTGCTCTTTGTATGTGTTGTAGTTTCCATGGAAATAAAGAGGAGGCATTGCCTTTGGAGCAACCTCCATCTAAGTACTAGTATCTCAGAATATAGGAAAAAGATCAGTAAAAACCAAATTGCTGGAATGAAAAACAGAATCTCCTTGGCTGTACATCAAGCAGTTTAAGTGTTTGTTACATTAATGAGATAGAGGCTAAAAAGAAAGAATGCCAAGCTGCTAGAGCCCACACTATCCTTTCCTTACAAGATTATTTAGGTAAATAACTGGGAGAGTGAGGGGGAGGAGACAGTGCTGTCAGAAAGCTGTAAATTTACTACAGCTCTGAAGCAACAACAAGATATATATTATTTACTGTCCTCCACAGATTCCTGACTGTCATTTAGGTCCTGATTCAGCATTCTTTGCACAGCCATACCTTCCACCAAAACCACTCGGTGTTAAATACATGCAATAATACAAGGACTATGCGATAATACAAAGACTAAGGTACTGCTGCAGTTGCATACAACTTTGTGTGCCCACAAGAAAATATATGGCAGAACAAAAGATAGAGGGGGGACTAGAAGTTGATGGTCTTCACAAGTCCTTTTTTTGTTACACTTAACTTTGCTGATGCTGTTTTTGTTGGTGTTGCTCCTACCAAAGAGGCCTGCAAAGGACAATGGCATATTGTTTTCACATATCCTTTCAACGGGTATTGTTGGCCTTGCTTTCACATCTCGATCTCACTCTCTGCAGTCCCTTTGATGTTGGACAAGAAACTGATCCTCAACTGGAAACCGTATATAAGCTTGAAGTCTCTAAATTTGACAACTGCAGCCATGGGTAAGTCATGTTTTCCAAATGCTAGTAATTTTTTAGATTTACAGCTTATTACAGCATGAAACCCACAAGACCATATATTCAGCTTGGAGTCCTGTCCCTACTTTTAACAAAGATTGGAATTAAAATCTCAGGTCTGCATCCCAAGAAAATCCTGGTATCACCAACAATAAATAAATAAATAAATAAATAAATAAATAGATAGATAGATAGATAGGTAGATAGATAAATAAATGGAAGAGTAGTAACAAAAGGAAATTTAACTTCTGAAGTAGCAAAGGAAATTTTTGGTACGCGCTGCTTTTGAAAGTACTATTATCATCTCATATTGCTAATACAACTGCAAATGAAAGTTCAGCCAGATCATTTTTCAAGGTCAGCTCAGCTTTTGCTGTAATTTCCAAGTTATCTGCTATATATCTGCTATGAATAATGGGCTTTCTAAGCTCATTCTTACAAGCTGGAATTTACTTCATAAAATGGAGATAGATAAGAAAGTGCAGAACAGTTCTGCAACAATGCAAGCAATTTCATGGGATGGGGCGGGGAAGGAAACAACTCTGATCAATAATACACATTAAGAAGGATATTTAGGATGCCCCTCTTTAAATCGGACTTCTGTAAGTCATTCTGCATCAGAGCAGGAGAGGTTAAACAGTTGGGTAAATCTGCAAGTTTCTACCATGTCAGCACGTCAGAGAGAGAATAAAGACATGAGAGCTCTACTTGAGAAAAACCTTTGCAAAAATGGTAAATAATAATAAGATAAAAGCAGAAATTTGAAGCAAATTTAAAACTCCAAGAGCGTTTCAGAGTCACACAGGTTTTGGTATGCCTGTATGCATGGAGTGCAGCAGAAAGCAACCTGGTCTTTAAGATTTCTACAGACTGGCATTTCAGTCATACACATGACCCTTCTGTAATGGATATTACAATACATTGTCCCAAAACAAAGCTACATGCTTGCTCTATATCAGTGCCACAAAGAGTTACCCTGCAAGCCTAGCTTCCTACCTTCATAAAGCTGTGCATATTGAGGGAAGCCAGCAGCTCGCAGCCAGTCACAAGCTTCCTTGGCTTCAATTTCTGAAAGAGGACAGAAACAGAGCACACTCGCATTAGTTACAGAATCACAGAGCCATTAAAGTTGGAAAAGACCATTAAGATAATCTAGTCCAACCATCAATCCATCATCACCACACCCACTAAACCATGTCATCTGCAGAGCAAAAACCTCCTCCCTAGCACTTTCGTTGCTCCTGTCATGAAGTAAGCGTAAAGATGCATTCAACATTCAGTAACTTTGAACTGAAACTCAAGTCTGCTTATATGAGCTTCCTTCTCTTCACAATACCAAACATATTCCAGAATTCACCTCTGATTTATCAGAAGGTCATCATGTTAGCAATTAGAGAAACAGGAACAGATGAAAACTACAGGAATCACAGATTATTCTGCACAGGTTTTGTAAACACTAGAGACAGCAGCATTACAGTGAACATGTGGTTTTATTCCACAAATCTTATGATCCTCTTGGTGTAATTATTCTGTCTTGATAGAAATTCCTCATAGAGCCTTGTGCTTTAACATCCTATAGATAGTACTGGCAGTTCAGGAACAACTGACTCACTGTATTGCAGCAGTTATTTACTGCTCAACAAGAACTCAGTTTCACTGGAGGTCTTCAAGGTATTTATGAGTGCCTTGGTCTATTATAGGAAATTCAGTGAAAGTTTCCCTTTCACTTCCCAAAACAACATGCTTCAAAATGAAATTATTCACATACATAACACCAAAAGAAACATTCTGAATATAGGCTATATAAGGCTATGAACAAATTGTACATGAATTTGTTACCTAGTAGACACGTAAATAAAGAAAATATTATCTCATTAGCTCACAAACCAGGAAAACATACAGGGCATTTAGGGTTTCTGCCATATGTTGAGGAAAGTGCTTGGGTTAATTCTGTTCTAAAAATTCAAGAAAGTGCTCCTGGGAATTTAGTTCCCTGCTTAGATCTAGCAGACAGCGAACAATCAGAAACTCTTTATGTTCATCTGGCTTTGATTATATTCACTCTTCCTGATGAGCCAAGAAAGAAAAGCTTCATTATGTCCAACTGAGTAGACAATTTTGCCACCTACTTGGAGAGGTTATCATCGCTACCTGCTGCAGAAACTTTGCAGAGTTCAGTACAATTACTCAGAATATGAGCTACTGCATATAGGTAAAGAGCCAAACACAACATAAGCAAAACAACTTAACTTCTTGGCACATTATGAAATATTCCCTGTGAGATACAGGTATACAAAATTAAAATCAGATGAAAGAACAAACACATTTAAGGGTCTTCAAAAATACTGCCATGCCCCCCTGATTTTTCAAACAGCTACAATAGGATTAAAATATTTGTGCTTTGCCAGATTGCTTTGCTAAGACACATATCCAAATCAAGGGGTTAAAGTGAGCTAAAGCATCACATTCCATATAAATAAACAGTTAAAAACCTACTCTCGCTGGAGTCAGGACAAGCAGGTATTTGTGTAACTTGTTTTTGCTTCAACTTTGGGTTACAGAACCACATGTGAACAAGCACGTACAGACATATTGACTTAGCTACTCATTAAGAAAAGGCATTCTTCAACTCCAGTTGCAAGGAATTGTAAAGCTTTGCTTGGAGTTGTATTTTAATTTTAGTGTCTTTGGGAAGTACATGGGAAATATAGCAAAGGTAAAAAAAAAAAATCTAAAATGTATTTAAAACGTACACCAAGTGCAGGTAACAGAATATTGCTGTATCAGATTAAATGAAAACATTAAAGTAAAAAAAAGATTAATTTTTAAGACTGTCTAGAATAAAACATAGTATTTTACAGGTCACATCTTGCAGAAGTGACTAGATTGAAAGAGAATTTCACTTGATTAAAAATGCAGCTATATGTTCATAGCTCAAATGAAAGAAGTGTCAGATTCCTTACTACTACAGCAGCTCTTTCATGTGTTTAAATATTTGTTCATAGGTCATTTAACAAGCACTCACAAATACGATTTGGAAAGTATGTTTAAAGTTAAAAAGTTAAGAATATGCATTTATCAGACTTTTTTTTTTTAAAAAAAAAACTTATCTTTGTAGAAACTCATCTTTTCTCCAAATACAAATGCAAGTTAGGTGGAAGTCATATTTAATGGCTGCCCAGGTATCAGGTGTCTTTAGAATTTTCAAGGTATATTTGCATCCAAATGCCTTTGAGAATCCCCCAAGAAGTCCATCTAGGCAACACAGGTTCCCCCTATCTGGCCAAAAGAGTTGCAAAGTAATATAGCACCAGTGCGTCTATCCATTAGTTAGGCTAAGTAAACATAATTTCCCATGACAAGCATATTTCTTGAGCACCTATCACTGTGTGATAGTGATAGGACAAAGGGGAATGTTCTTAAACTAAAAGACAGGAGAATCTGCTTAGATGTTAGGAGGAAAATCTTTACGCAGAAGCTGGTGTGGCATAGGCTGCCCAGAGATGATGTGGAGTCCCATTCCTGGAGCTGCTCAAGGCCAGGTTGGAAGGGGCCCTGGGCAGCCCAATCTAAGTGGACATCAACCCTAACCATGCCAGGGGAGTTGGAATTAGTCTGTCGTGAACCTAAGCCATTCTATGATTCAGATGAAGACGTGAAAGTTTTCATCTGAAGATGCAAGATGATATAGCTTGCTATGGGCAAGGGCCTGGTCTCACTCCCTCCTCTCCAGCCCAGCAGGGCCACTTCCAATCTACTGCTGGCCATGACAATAAAATCAAACACCCCCGTCATTTAAAACCTTTATAATAACCAACAATTCAGTATACAATCCACACAAGAAATGTCCACGCAGCTTTTCAGACGTATGTCCTGTCCTGCCTCCTGTCTTCAACAAGAGGTTCTTGTACAAAGAAATGCTGTCAAGAAAGAAACTGCACTATTTCTAAACGTTCTGATACACAAGAAATTCTCTTAGAAAGTAAAACAAAACAACAAAAAGAGGAATACAATGAAGTCTTTATTCTCGGTGTTGTGTAAGCAAACAGCAGCCAAACGTGTTAAAGAGGAAACAGGAAATTTTTATTGGAAACAGCTTTATTTGCTAGTCCACTTCACAAAGCTGACCTCCATGTTCAAATCAAGGGACGGAGTTCCTTTTGTGTGTGCTTGGGAACCATCAGTCCTTATTTACCCACTTCCTGGGTATTAAAGATGCTCCAATTCTTCCCCAAAGAGTGAAAATGGGAACATCAAGCTTATTTTGGTTAATTTTGGTTTCCGACACCGCAAATGTGCAGATTCAAAGTTTTATAGCAAAAGTAACTCAATTCACAGCTGGTTTTACACAGCAACAGTAGAAGAGAAAAATCTAAGATGTGTATCATCTTATTGGATGATATCTCCCTTGTCACCGAAAACAAAAAAAGCATAGTTTGATGGTATCATGTCCTTTCGGGAGAAAAAACAAAACAAAACAAAAAAATCACAACAGTATAGCTTGCACTAGGAAGATCGAGACAAGTTAGAAGGGTATTTTATTTTCCTGTTCTTACTTGTTTTTTTGCTTCCATGAAACAACATGCAACTTAAGCAACAGTTCTTTCAGGCTCTTGAAGAAAAGGTGCAAACCAGATGCACCTTTGTACAGTCGTGAAGGGGCTTCATTTTCACCCAGGTGCTAAACATCATATGAACAGTTCTTTCAAGCAGATGGTTTCCTCTTGCCTCAACCCAGACACCTTTATGGCTATACTGACACTTCCACAAATCAGTTCTACTCATCTCACCTTTTGGCTCTTTTAAGAGAGTGGATTGTAAAAGTCTGTAGTTAGATTGGTCAAATCAATACTGTTAAAATAAAATCTAAGCTAAAATGGACTTCCACTGCTGAAGGTCCCTCTCCAATGCCATACCTAAGAACCAGTTTGTCTAGGATTCTTCTTGGTCTTAAATTTTGACCAGGCTATTCTAACTGATATTAACTTCTTAATATTTTCTTCAGAAGGAAATAAAAAAGAAGGCAAAATTTGAATACAAAAGCATTTTCTTGTACTATCTTGCATGAGTGATTCTCTCCTATGCAGTGCAGACAGTTTGATTTCTTACTACAAATGATAGAGATGAAACCACTTGTCCTTGCAATGCAAAAATCTCCAACTGCACACTTGTTTCCCAATGCTCCCATTTAATGGCTGCAAAAAGGCTTGTACTCTTTTTTCTGTTCATATCAGAAATTGTCCCTGCATATTGTGCCCCTCTGAAACTTCTGGTGATACACAAAATTGATGGTCAATTCTGAAACACTACCTTGAGTGAGCTATCAAGAAGCCCAAGGCCACCCAGTATCATATTTAAGGCCAGCTGTAGCTCAGATATGAGAAATTTTCTTATTTGGGTAGAACTCACTGCTCAAGTACAAGCAATCATTTTTCCAAGTGCTTGAATTGCATCCCTGACATGCAACTAATTTCCAGCACCAGAATTTAATTAAAGAAAGACAGCATTTTATAAGGATAATGCCCTCAAACACTGTAATTTGGTAAGTTATTCAATAAATATTCCACATCTGAAAGGTAGAGAATTCTGAGAATCGCATTAAAAGTTTTTGCCAAGTTTCTAACACATTTGGAATCTCCTTATTCTACGTGATTACTTACATCACTATTCTAAAATATTATTCAGACACATTCAATCCGTGAAGGACTAATCTCTTGAAGAACCAGCGAGTCATAGAAAATATATGAGGCATGCATTTTGTAGTGATGACAACCTTGCAGGTTTTGAATTACAAGCTAACCACCGTCCTAAGAGGATGTCTTTCTTTTTTCACCTTTAAAGCTCAAAAGGCCCCTTTGCAGTAGTGGCCAACTATTGCGGTATGCTCCTGTACATCTTCATGCTTCAGTTTATCTTCTATAGCCAAATGACATGTGCTGTACTCTCCACTTTACCTCAATAATCAATTCAAGTGAATATGGACGCACGCAATTTAAATAAAATATTTCTTACCAAGAAGTTTCTGGGAGAAAAAAAAAAAAACCTTCTTGAAAGAAACCATACATGTC